CGGAAATGTTTTAAGGAGGATAGATTGTAACACCCCGGACTAATATTATATTAATAACTCGACTTATTTATCGGATTTAGTATTATTTTAATTATGCGGAGAATTATTCATATTAATTGCATAATTTATTTATTACTAAGCCCATGTAGTATTTTAAAATCGAGCCTAGTAGCAATTATTTATTCGAGCCCAAGTTGTTAAAATCGAGCCCAATTAATTAGGCCCGATTTTTAAGCCCAATAGCACAACAAACCCTAAGCTCCCTACTCCTATAAATAGACATTGTCTTCATGTTCCCCAACATCACAACAAAAGAGCAAAACCCTAGCCACCCCCAAGCACTATTCATTGTCTTCCCCATTTGTTCAAGATCCAAACACCATTTTGTCTTAAGCTTGTCCAAGAACACAAGCTTCATTCATGGCTTGAAGATCCAACCGACCCGTTTTCCGGCAAGACAAATCGCAGCCACCACGAGCTCGTTTCCGGCGACCAGCTGCCATCTCCGGTCGTCCTCCTCAGCTCATTTTCCGGCCAAGAACCGAGCAGCCCTTTTTCGCACCAAACCCGCGTCCAGGCCGCAGCAGCCCGTCCAACCCGCAGCAGCCCGTTTGACCCGACCGGCTTCTTGCTCCGTTTTTCTTCCGTTTTCTAGTCCGATCCGTTCTTTTCCGATCTCGTGAGGTATAATATCTAAAGACTTGAATGATATGGAATAAATTGATGATTAAAACGAGATAAAAATTAATTGAGATGTTGATTTGAGTTGGATCGGTACTCACGAGCTTAAAGCGGATAAATTGATATTTTCGATAGACGCGTTAAAAATGTCGAAAAAATATGATAAAATTCGTATAGCTGACTTGAGGCCTAGGTTTTAATTTCGTAAATTTTGGTGCTCGTTTAGTATGTTAACTGGATTTTTGAATTGTAGCTGAAATGCCCGATTTTTGATAAAATGATAAGACCTCGGAATTCAATGAAACTTTCACGAAAAATCCTATAAATGATGAATATATCGTGGTTTAAATTTCATAATTTTTAGAGGTTGTTTGGCATGCCTATAAATTCGAGACTTTAGCTGCTTTGGTGAAAACCCTAGATTTTATCCGGTTGAGACTTGGCTAAAATTTCTAGAAATCGAGTTGAACTTAAAGTTTGAGTTTTTGACTTGAACCGAGATGGATAGCCGAGTGAGTAGAGAACCCTAGTCTGGCCTTATTCGGTCAGTCCGGATGAACTCTAGATCCGAGTAGAAAATTGTGCGTCGACTGATGTCGTGTCCGTGCGTATGCACCCGGACCACGATTAAGTCGAGTTGCACCCAGTCAGATAAATAAGATCAGATCAGTCAGATAAGATAGATCAGATAAGCAGACCAGACTTAGAAATATTTCAGAGAACTCTAGAATGCCTCAAAGTCAGCAAATCTTTTCAAAACAGCTCAAAGCATCTAAATCCAGATTAAATGATATTTTAATCGAGCGAGAGAACCGAGTAAGATTTATTAATAATAAGAATCAAGTTTTTATTTGAGCTTAGTACTTAGTACATTTTGCTCGAATATTTATGTAGCTTAAGGAGAGTCGAGCCTCCGACAGCTACTAGTGAGTCAGCACTTGCCTAGAAGTAGCAGTTATCAGGTGGGGGTCACGTACTGGTTATACTTCATCTTTAATTTCCGTACCATGTCCGAGGTATGTATGAGAAATAGTTAGATCATCATGAGGGAGGCCGTGGCGGGCCTTAATGTTCCCCCGTGATTCTGAGGGAGGCCTTAATTGGCCTTAATGATCCCCCGGAGTGTGCACATGATTGGCTTTTAAGCCCCAGGGTCTTTATGACCACCAGATGCCCCAGTTACCGTTTCAGTTTAGATCAGTTCTTATATACTTAAAGTCATGATATTGTTATTAACGATGTTGCATAATTAAGTACTGGTCTTTGCGGAGCATAGTTGTTTTGCTCACGCCCCCATTACGTTTTTTAGGTGACGGAGCGGCGCGTGGCGCGTGAGATTTCAGTGGTGGTCATGGTCATTAGCAGTCTTTTTGTAACGCATCTGCATGTCATTTATTGAACATGTACTATTATTACTATGTGTAGACTTATTATGTTTCAGCTTCCGCTCATTCCAGACTTAGTATGTATTATGAGATTATCAGACTTATGCATGTATAATGCCTTTTATCACCGTGGTGCCTTTATATAACGGATTTGATTAGGTTGCATGTATTTATTTACGTCTGCATGAGAAAGAGTTTAAGTTAGTAGCATCCCGCAAGTTAGTATGAGTATTTTCGAAAATAAAGTTTAAAAGTTTTTCGAAAATAAAAAGCAAAAAATTTACTCTGATTTTTTTTTATAAATTCTAGAAATAATTAGGCGGGGTGTTACATATATTTACAATCCAAACTAGACAAAAACATTCAATATAACATGAGAGTAGCGTAATTAGGGCCGGTATTACCTCGTGGGGAAGTTTAGGTTTCCAGCGAGTGGACGATTACATTCGGTGAGAAATGAAGCCATTTCAGACGCTGGATTATATCGAAGTGTATACATACAAGTTCGAAATAGGAGGGATAAGATATTCTCACCCGGTGGAATCCAAGGCGGAGGCGACGGCGATGAAGTTGAGATGGAGTGAAATGAACAACGATGATGAACAAACATTTTAATTTTAATTGATATAATAAATTGTAATAATACAAATCTTAAAGGATTAAATAATGTGTTTTTCAATATATGCAGGACTTCTATCTAAATAATATAAACATAAGGGTTTCAAAATAAATAAAAATATCATTTTATGATTTATTTAAATTTTTTATAGTAGTAAGGGTAAAATAGGTTTTTTGCATGTACAAACATGTACAAACGTACAAAGCCATGTATAAAGCGTCCATTTTTTCTTTTTTCGCTTCGTACATGTTTGTACACTAAATCAATGGTCCATATCCAATCTTCACTCAATCTAATGGTAAAATAGAGGGCTACCTGATGTCAGGTATGTACAAAGCAATGTTTTAAATACCGTACCGTACCGGCCGGTATTACCGGTAATACCGGATACCAGTGGTCCGACCGGTACGATTACACTCTAAATACCGTTTTTGACAAAATACCGGTTTATACCGATTTCATACTGGAAAATACCGGTTTTATCGGCCAAAATACCGGTCAAAATACCGGTTTATGTCAATTTTTTTGAAAAAAATATTTAATATATTTTTATTATTATTTATTTTATATAAATTGAAAGTTTTACACTTGGTTTTAATATATTTACATTGTTATTAGATGTTAATTAATTTTAGTATTAATTAAAGTTAGTTTTGTATATTATTTATGTAATAACAAATTAATTTAATATTTATTAATACCGATAAAATACACGGTAAAACCGGTCGAAACGGTTGAACCGCGTACCGTTGGCTTGTCCGGTATAATGACCGGTACGGTATTTAAAACATTGGTACAAAGTGCCTGACCCTAGGCGATCCCAACCTTCTTTCATACCCTTCCCGTAAAATCTCAAACCTGCGGGCTTCCTATTTACGGCAGGGTTTCACGGTTTCGCCGCCGTGAAAACACATCTGAACACTAATGTTAGCAATTTTTTACAGGAGACGACTCAGGATCCCTCCAAAAGACTGTATTATCTCTCCAATCCAATTTCAGTCTCCCCAAAATGCAGGCTTCATCAGGCCATGCTCCACCAAGAAAAAAACACCAGCTGTTCGAGAAAATGCCTCAGAGAACTCTTTCACCGTATCGTACCTCATCAACACATGGGGGCTGTCCGAAAAGGACGCCGTCCTCGTATCCACCAAAATCCGCCTCGAATCGTCGGAAAAACCGGACGCCGTCCTGAACCTCCTCCGGCAGTACGGTTTCACACACGCCCACATCCCCAAACTCGTCACACGGTGGCCCAAAGTCCTCTCCACCTGCCCGGAACAAAACCTCACCCCGAAACTTGAATTCTTCCGGTCGATCGGCATCCCTCTTCCCGTTCTCGCCGATAAGCTCTCTGGCGAGCCCTCTGTCCTTACCCGCAGCCTCAAACTCTCAATCATCCCTTCCTACAACTTCCTGAAAGACCTGTTGAAATCCGACGAGAGTGTTGCCCGTGTGTTCTCGCGGTCCCCGCACACTTTCGGCCGGTGCTCGTTAGGCAGGTTACCGTCTAATGTCTCCATGCTGAGGGAACGGGGGGTCCCGCTATCGTCGATTGTCCACATGGTAACTCACCTGCAGACCCTTAACGTGGTCAAGCAAAAGCTCGAGGCCTACGTTGACCTGGCGGTCAAAATGGGGTTCGACGTCTTGACTAGCACGTTTACTTACGCCGTGAAGGTTTTCATAGAGTTGGGTGAATCGAACCTGAAGCGTAAAATGGATATCTTCAAGAAGTGTGGGTGGTCGGATGCTGAAGTGGCGTTCGCCATGCGCAGGTCCCCCATCTGCATGAATTTGTCGGACAAGAAAATCGTGGCCAATATGAGTTTTCTCATGAAAGAGCTCGGTTTCGAGCCGGGTGACGTGGCACGGTGCCCGGTACTGTTGAACTTGAGCTTAGAGAGGAGGATGAGGCCGAGGTGTTTGGTGGTTGGGATTCTTGGCGAGAGGGGTTTGCTGAAAGGCAGGAAAGCTTCGAGCTTGAACACGATTTTGAAGTTGTCGGAGGTGGATTTCTTGAAGAAGTATGTGGTGAAGTATGAGAAAGATGTGCCTGAGCTTTTGGATATCTATCGAGGAAAGTTGAGCCCGTCTGGGCCCGTCAAACTGTTTTCAGGAAAAAATGTAGTGTCTTAACTCTTAAAGTTGAGTTTTTAATGGAGGGTTTTGAATTTGAGGTATGTGGAATAGAGTAGTAGACATTGTTGGGATATTTTGGTGGGGTTGTGATGAAAATGAGATTGTTAATTACTTGTTATTTTCGTGTTACGTTGTTACTTTTGTGGTTTCGGGACATTCATCTCAAAAAGGTTGTGTCGAGGGAGTGCATTTTCGGATTTGTTCTCGTTTTATCGTATTGCTGTGAATATAGTGTTGTTCTCGTCTCGAAGCCTTGTGTTGTGTGGTGGATCTGGTTCAGTTGTTGGCTGAAAGTTTTCTCAGCTGCCAGACTCTAGGTGTTGATGGTATTTTTCTCCGTTAATTTGTGTTTTTATGTCTGACAGATGTTAGAAAATTGGAGCTATCTCTGTTGCAAACTTCATTTCTAAAATTTTGAATTGTTCTGGTGCATGGAATTGAGTGTCCTGTAATAATACTAAGGACATCCCAATGGTAATAGTTATTACTAGCTATATGGTCAGCTAACGTGGATGTGAGAGATAAGAAAAATAACTATTTTACACTATTGGACCCACGTACTCCTCTCACATGATCTTGGGTTACATGAAATAGATAAGTTATTTGTTCGTCGCTAGTGACTACTCTTTCTCCTACTTTTTCTCTGTCCACGTCATAATAGTTAGCCAAATAGCCAACCATTGTGGACGCCCTAATACTTGCATAAACCTCGTACGATGCACGAGACAGAGATATTAAATAATTTATTTTCATA